ACCTGCCCCTGGGTGTCCAGCAAAAACAAAACGTTGATGATGCTCTAAACACAGCACTTGGCACCCAGAGACCTGGGATGACTATTGTCTGTGTGCACACCACCCTGTGACAAATCTTTCTTCCCATGGTTGTATCTTGAGTAACTGGTATCAGCTCTCTTAATCAGCTTCATCTGCAAATATCTACGTGAAAAGATCACTGAGAGCATACAAAGAAAAAGGGGGAAACTCCTAGCACACATCAAGGGCTCGGAAAAACGTTCCTTTCTTTTCGGTCTCTTAACGGCTAAGGCAGTTTCGTCAGCATCACCCTGCGGCCCCGAAGTGCTCCCGGCTGACACTCCGTAAATACTGCTGAGCAGCTAGCTTCCAGGCACAGCTGGGAACAAACTAGCGATGTACATCTCCAGCAACGCAAACCATAACTCCACGTCAGGGAGCCATTTTTTCCCACTCGGGAAAATGCGAAGGTGTACAAAATGTAACCAGGGAATCGGCCCGCCCATCAATGCCCCCTTTCCCAGGAGGGCCCGGTCCCAGCACAAAGACCGCCTTCAACACAGGCAAAGACCCTCCCCTCTCACCCAGCTAAAGGGAATGCGGGGTGGATCCACTGACTGGGGGTATCTGGGTGGGCGTGGGGCTTCAGGCCCAAGACCGGGGGAGAGGGGTTGATGGGGGCTGGACAACCTCGGGGAGGCTAGGCACTGGGGTATGTGCTTTGAGGGAGGGGGCCGGGCCTCACCTTCGCCCGCTTGCGCCGGCTGGTCCGTCGCCCCTCCGGAGTTTCTGCGATTCCTGTTTCCATGGGGGTCGCAGATCCAGGCACGACTGTAGGCCCGGCCTGAGGTGCGGCGGACCCTGGCGGCTCGACGAGGCCCCCGGGCGGCGAGGCCCGCGGAGGTTCCTTCTTGCGAGGAGTACGCTCCCCGGCCACTCCCGACGCGGCCTCTGCAGGGCCGGAGGGGCCCCCCGGCGGCGCGGCCACCTCTGAGCCGTTCTCCGAGCCGGCCGCGGCCCCGGCACCGGCCTCCGAGCCAGCTGCCGCCGCTGCAGCGGCCGCCGCCGCCGCGGCCGCTGCAGCCGCCGCCTTCTTCCCAGACAACATCTCGGGCCGCCTGGCTGCCGACAGCCAAAGGGGCCACTCAATCTGTGAGTCCGTGGGTCCGCAACGACCCGGCCTCGCTCACTTCACGCAGTCCAGCGCCACCGCGTACGCACGCGCAAAGCGCGCTCCCGCCTCGCGTCGACAAAAGGCTGAGGCGCCCATGGCCACGCCCCCCCTCCCCCCAGCTGCCATAGAGCGGCGTTCTGGTGGCTAGAGCGGCACCGTGGCAAGGAGCGCGATGCTTTTCTAGAGCGTCCCCTTGGCCTTTAGAGTTGGCCCCAGCACCGTCCTTGTCCTAGGGCTTCTGGGGAGACTGCACCTCCGAGGGCGACCGTTTCATCTAGGGACTTGGGCACACTTATAAATTTATTCACTCATTCATTCACCGCTTCATTTGTCAATTCAATCCATATTTATTAATGCTTACTACGTGACAAGGGTTTAATTATGGAGTTCTTGCTTTCAAAGATGGTGGTGGTGGTTTATTCTTATAACTCCAGGAATCCTTAACTGACCCAATTCTAAAACAGGTTTTGTGTTCTTCAAGCTTATTCCCACAGAACTATAATTGCTTTTTCACATGTCCCTTCAAAATATACTGTAATTTTCAAAAAAATGATTTCATTTACACGAAGTCTGAGAACTGGTAAACCTAATCTCTAGTGATAGAATCCAATTAGTGATTGCCTGGGAGGAGTGTGGGGGGTTGACTGCAGAAGAGCAGGAGAGAACTTGCTGGCAGTAATGAAAATGTTTTGTATTTTGATTGGAGTGGTAGACACATTAGTCAAAACTCAGTGGACTATACAAGTAAAATAGATATGTTTTATTTTATGTTGATTGTAATTCACTGAAGTTGATTTTTAAAAACTATGCAAACAAAAAAGCAAAAGCTGTGCAAAAAGTTGTAGTCACAGGACAACACATGGCTCAGCTGTGAGCTACATTGGCATAGGAACATAAGCAACGCATATTGTTTTAACCCAACTGATAGAATTATACTGAGAGAATGGAGAAAAGAGAAAGTTTGTGGAGGAGAGGGATGAGCGGTTGAGAGGGAGGCGGTGAGGTGAAAATGAGACAGATTCTGCACGGGAGCTAAATGCTCATCTCCCATCATGAAAAGATAATATATAACGTCGAAATTGAGAAATCAAGAAATAGCCCTGGCTTGGTGTGGCTCAGTGGATTGAGTGCTGGCCTGCGAACCAAAGGGGTGCTGATTTGGTTCCCAGTCAGGACACATGCCTGGGTTGTGGGCCAGGTCCCCAGTTGGGGGCATAACGGAGGCAACCACACCTCTTATGTTTCTCTCTCTCTCTAAAAATAAAATAAATAAAATCTCTTTTAAAAAGAAATCACGAAATAACAGTATCCGCATTCTATTTGGCTATATCAAGATAAATTCCAGAAGTTCAATACCAGCTAAAAAAGCTGGAATTATTTCTCTACATCATAGAACTTGAGGGTGGGAAGGGGTGAAACAGGAGACTGACGCTTGTTTGTTCTATATACTGTGGTTTTTTTAGTTTTAAGTAACCAAGGCTCTTTTTATAACTCATCCAACTCCTAACTTTCTACTTAGCAAGGTCAAAAATTATGAAATTCTACCAGTGCTGAAGTCATTTGCAAGTAATAGTTCATAATCCTATAGTTCTTGAACAAATCACATAATCCTACATGAGTTGTTTAACGTATTATTTGTTAAAACTTAAAATTAGATTTTTAAAATATGCATATGGTTTGACCCAACAAAATTGCACTTTTAGGAAAACATTCTCTGGAAATGTTTAAGCGTGGGTACAAAATTTTAACTTCAATGCTGTTTATCTCAAGTTATATATAATAACGATCAAGGAGAACTACACTAAAGGCCCCAAAAGTGGTGACTAATTGAATATATTAGAACATCATAGCCATTGAAATTGATATTTGAACATTAAGAACTTCCATAAAGAATAAAGAACATATGTCAATTTACTGATTTTAAAGAAAGAGAGAATCATTGATTTGTTGTTCTACTAATTTATGCATTCATTGGTTGGTTCTTATATGTGCCTTGATGGGGGATCAAACCCACAACCTTGGCATATCTGGTCAGTGCTCTAATCAACTGAGCTACCGGGCCAGGGCCAAAGTTTGACTGACTGATTTTATTATTCAGAGAAACAGCAGGATGATAAAGGAGAATATGAAAAATTGCTATATTTAGCCACTGCTTGGTGGAAGATCGAATAGTGCAATAAGATTGCAAACTAATTTTAAATAAGGAAAAGCTAGATAATGTCTTACAATTACATAAAAACTAAACTTTGGGGATTATCTTTTCTCTCAGACAGAACTCATTTGCACTTATTTGCTCTCCCAAAATATCATTTGCAACTTATCCATTTTCTTTCCAGAAATACAGGCATACCTTAGAGATACTGCAATTTTGGTTCCAAACCACCATAATAAGGTGAGTACCATGATAAAGTCAGTGTAATCTTTTTGCTGATGGAGGAAGTGGCCTTCAGTTTGTGAAAAATGCAACACCTGTGAAGTATATAAAGCAAAACACAATAAAGTGAGGTAGGCCTGTAACTAATTTCATTTTCTTAAATTGTGTTAAAATACATATAACATAAAAGTTACCATCTTAATCATTTTTTATTTCTTTATTTTTAAAGATTTTATTTATTTACTTTTAGAGAGAGGAGAAGGAAGGCAGAAAGAGAGGGAGAGAAACATCAATGTTCGAGAGGTACGTGGATTACTTGCCTCTCCTCCCCACTCAGCTGGGGACCTGGTCGGCAATCCAGACATGTGCTCTGACCAGGGATCGATCGAATCGCAAGCTGGCAGCACTCAATCCACCGAGCCACACCAGCCAGGGCTTAACCATTTTTAAATGTACCGTTCACTAGCGTTAATTACATTCCCATGGTTGTACAAATAATCTCCAGAACTCTTTTCATCTTGAAAACTTCTGTATCCATAAACAGTCTCTCTCCAACACTCCCCTGCCCCCCCCAGCTCCTCCAACCACCGTTCTATTTTGTCACTACAGACTTGAGCACTCTAAATATTTCACGTCAGTGGAATCAGACAGCTTTTGTCTTTATGTGACTGGCTTATTTCAGTTAGCATAATAGCCTCTAAGTTCACCCACATTGTAGCATGTGTCAGAATTTCCTTCCTTTTTATCCGTTCGTCTGTCGATGGATTTTTGGGTGGCTTCTGCCTTTTGACCATTGTGAATAAGGCTGCCACGGACGTGGGTGTGCAAATCTCACCTCAAGACCCTGCTCTAGGTTGTTTGGGGTACATATTCCCAAGTGGAATTGCCAGAGTAATTTACCCATGTTTTATAAGTTAACATCTGACTCTACGGAGTGGGAACCCTAATCAACATTAAAGAGTAAGTCAAATAAAGTTACTTTCTCCTAAAGTATCAGGTGACTGACAGGTGGGCCAGCTAGAGAATATTCTAGTATTACTGTGAACAGACTTGCTGTAAAGTTTTAGCCTTATTTCCAAATTTTGGGTGATTTTTTCTTTGTATCTCCCTCCCTATGAGAGTAGGGGTTGTGTTCCAGACTGTTTTATTCTCAGTGGCTACGCCCAGAAGTTCTGTTGAATGAATGAGGCATCACTAAGGCCTACATCACCTGGCTCTTGTGAGGGCATTATGAGATGATGCTTGCAATCGGCCTGTCAAAGTCTGACACCTAGTGACCGCTTAAGACATAGGAGTAGTCAGTATTATTGTTATGTGGCAACGGGGGAGGGGTGCTGCTGGGGGCCAGTCATGACTTACAGGACAGGGCAGCCATGACTCCTGGAATGGAGGCAACTGTCCCAGAGAGGGAGCTGAGGCTGGGTCTTGGGGCCTGGGTGCCACCAAGCCAGAATGCTGGAAGAACTAATATCTCTTTTTAGGAATCTCCACGACATACTTGATTCCTCAGGTGCCATTGGAGCATTGGTGGCTTGGCTGATCAGCTATAAGCCAGTCTTGTTTGGGTTCCTATTCCTTCTGCTGTTGCTTAGCAACTGGCTGGTCAAGTATGAACTGAAGCCCACCTCCCCAAAGTCCCAGCAGGTGAGCAAGAGGAGCCTTGAGCTTCAGCTGAGGGTCAGGGGATATTTCCAGCTAGACTGGGGCTTGGGGAACAGGGAAGGTGTCAGAATAACGGGGCACTACTGAGGAACCCCCGACTCTGGCCTGCGTCCCTGCTCTGCAGCTGCCTCTTGGATGGTGAAGCCCCAAACACAACCTACCCCAGGCTTCCAGTGCCTCGGCTACAAACTTGGGACAATCCCACACTCTCCTACCTCAGGTTTGATGTGCACAGGCTTTGGCAACAGTAACAACTCCTTTAAAGGAAAAAATGAAAATGGATAAACTAAAGACACATGTAAAACATAGGTACATCTCTAAAATATAACAATGACGAGAGAGATGTGCACAGATCATGACATACACAAATCTAAAAATATGCAAGACAATGTCCTATCTTGTTTATGAATGCACATACTTAGTGAAATACATTAAGGCAGGATTTTTCTTTTTAAAAAGATTTTCGTTATTTATTTCTAGAGAGAGGGGAAGGGAGGGAGAAAGAGAGGGAGAGAAACATCAATGTGTGGTTGCCTCTCACACACCCCCCACTGGGGACCTGGCCTACAACCCAGGCATGTGCCCTGATTGGGAATCAAACCCGTGATCCTGTGGTTCGCAGGCCAGCACTCAATCCACTGAGCCACACCAGCCAGGGCAGCGCAGGATTTTACAACTTTCACACGATTGACATTTCAGGCCGGACAATTCTTTTAGTGAGGGACTGTCCCGTGCATCGTTGGATGTTTAGCCCCCCAGCCTCTACCCATAAGATGCCAATAGCATCCGTCACCCATTTTGTGACAGCCACAAATGTCTGCAGACATTGCCAAAGGTCCCCTGGGAAGGGCAAAATAGCCTCTCGTTGCAAAGCACTGCTACTAAAAAAAGTGCATGGAAAAAGCAAACACCGAATTCAGGATTGCAGTTGAGATGAGGTCCAGGGAGGGAGGGGGACACTCTAGGAGAGGGACCCCCGTTAAGTTTGTGGTATTTTATTTCTTAAGCTGCTGTGGGAACGCAGGTATTTGCTGTAATCGTTACTTTTTTTTTGGTATGTCTGAAATATCTAATTTTTAAAGGGCTGTAATCGTTACTTTTTTTTTGTATGTCTGAAATATCTAATTTTTAAAGGGCTGTAAAGACCGGAAGTTTGTAGCCGAATCCAAAAAGAAAAGATGAAGTATCATTAGGCTCAGCGAGGGGGCAGATGCCTGTGGTCTCTCCACTGAGACTGGGCAGCCGGGGGACCTGGAAGGGCCCGCCGGGACTCTGGTCACGCCGGGAAAGCGCAGCTCCGGAGACATACATTTGGGTTAAGGGTTTACGTTCTTTGCGAGCGCAGATCGGCAGCCCAGTTATTTATTCCTGTGAGTGTGTGGGTCTCCCCTGCAGGCTGGGTGATGCTGAGGCAGGGACCTTCCCTCTCTGTGCCCCTGCACTCTCACCCACAGGACGCTCTCCTGGCGGCTGGTTGTGAAAGTGAAGGTGTCACTTACAAACCCTGTGGCATGGGAAGGGGGAGGTTATCACCATTAACCAGACTCTCTCTCCTCTTTTCCTGTTGGTGGGGAGCTTAGGAAGAGGGAGAGAAACAAAAGACCCCCGAAGCCAAACCCAAGGGCCCCGCCATGAACACGAGACAACTCGAGAGACTGCACGCCTGCTTTGCTCTCCAGGACAAGATCCTCGAACGGCTGCTGGTCACTGAAATGAAGCTGCAGGTCCTAGAAAACCAGATGTTCATCTTATGGAATAAACTGAGCCGCCAGAACAGGTGGGGCCGGCGGCGGACTCGCCCCGGGGGACAGCACAGACTCAGGGAGCGCGAGTCCATCGTCTCCGTCCTCTCGAAGTGCACGTCCCACTCCCCCTGACTCGGGCCCTGAGCCTGGGTGGCCTCTTCCACTGTTACCTTCACTCAGTAAAACCCTGTCGGACAGAGACTATTGGATTTTCTTAGTGAGTCACAACGCAGGAGAGGACAGAGGCTGCAGGGTCACTGACCGGATCAGCCACAGAGCAGCCTGCAGGCCCTAGAACCGGGCCCTTTGCCCCTTTCGGCGGGACTCCCAAGCCCTGGTTCAGGGCCCTGCGCTCCTGTCCGCCTGGAGCCTTACAGGGGCCTCCCCGGTGCCTGCCCCGCCTCTGGGCTCCCCCTGGCTCTGCACCCAGAGGCCCGAGAGTGTTCACAGCCTGCTCTCAGGCCGACGTCTCTCCGTGGTTGGCAGAATAAAACCCACCCTCTCTACTCGGTGTTTAGGCGTCTGTGACCCGGTCCCCTTTCCAGGCTTTTCCCTCCCATTTCGCACCCTCACACGCTTTATACTCTGCGTGGGGGCTCCTTGAGCGTCAGTTGTGAGGGTGTCAGCTTGGTGATTTCTGTCATAGTCGTGAACCGCCTGCATGTTTAACTCAATGTTGTCCCTTTAAATCTACTCTTTCTCCCTAAATAAACTTATGTGTAAGGGACATGATGATGACACAAATGATTTATCTGTAAATCAAAAACGGCATCATTTGCCTGAAACGGAACTTCAGTGTCAAAACAAAGATGACAGTAACAGAGCAACGTGATTATGTTCCAGCCAGAGCTGGGTTGTCCTCTGAAGGACCGGACACTGTGAATTTGGGGGTAAAAAAAGAAGGTGAGCAAGTGTTAGCCCTTAAAAGACATGCTAGCACCAAGCTGAGACTTTTCTCCTTAAGGGGAATTGGAAAGAAAATCGCTACCTCACTGTGACTGCATGCCTGGTTGGTGTCCCACTTAAAATCACCTCTTTCCAGCCCCAGCTGGGCAGCTCAGTTGGTTAGAGTATTGTCCCGATACACCAAGGTTGTGGGTTCGGCCCTCAGTCAGGACACATACAAAATCAACCAATGAATGCATAAATAGGCGGAACGACAACCCAATGTTTCTCTCTCTCCCGCCCTCCACATTCCTCTCTCTAGAATCAATTTAAGAAATTTATAAACAGTGTAAAAAAATAGTCCTCTCTCTCCCCACATTGGATGCTAACCACACCGGACGAGTGGCCATCCCCCAGATGCACCCGCCTCTCTGCTCACATGGTTTCTTCCCCTGGAGGCCCTTCCCTTCTCTTCTCTGCGATTAAGGTCTCTACTTCTTCCAAAGCGACCACCCAGAAAGCTTCCCTCAACCCAGCCGGCACGAATCTCTTTCCTTAGCACTCTCTGGGCGTTTTATCTGCCGTTCCACAGCGGAATGTGTCACCGTCTGCTGACACTGAGTTTGTACACCTTTCTACATCCCCTCCCCACCGCCCAATTAGCACATGGACGCTTGGGGACAAGCACGGCATCTCGTTCAGCTGCATGTCCCCCAGGGCCCCTCACGCAGCAGCTAGCGGGCGGTCTGTGCATGCAAAGAGCACCCGTGGCTGCTGAGCGCAGCTTCTGCGCCCCAACGTTCTCTCTGCCCTCTCGCTCCGAGACGACTCTCTTGCGTCCTAATTCCTTAAGAGCAGGATCTCTGGAGGCTCGAGTCGGGCTTTAAATCCTGACTCTATCAACTCCCAGCTGTGTGGTCTCGGACTACTCAAAGTTGTTTATTTTTGCTGTACCCCAGTTTTCTCAACTGCAAAATGGGGGGAGTAACACTACTGACATCATTTATTACTGCAAGGATTAGATGAGTTACTACACCCCTGCCCAGGCTAAGGTCTTTGCTCAAATGATCCCTTCTTAGAGGGGACTCCTGTGGTCTCCCTCCTTCAACCTCCAGGTCCCCTCCCCATCCTTCTGCTGCCTTTTCTGCCAGGGGCCCAACCTGCGTGGTCTGCATCATTCAACCCCTTTGCCCTGTGGCTTCCAGTTGAGTTTGGACAACTGGGATCCCTGGCAGAAGACGAGAGGTTTGGGGGGAGGCTGAAGTACTTATTCCCTCAGCTCCCTGCTGTGGCGTTCTCTCAGGCTTGCTCAGGGCTGGCTGGGTCCCTTGACAGGTTACTCCTCTTCTCAGGCACGCTCTGTCTACAAGACCTTCTTACAGGTTCCCTTTGGGCCCAGGGGCACTGCACCACCCTTGTCGGCTCCCTAGAGCCTGCTCGCACTTTTGGAAGTAGTCCCTTTTACATTGCTTCACGGGTCATGGCTAGTGGTCTTGATGCATGGCCAGGCCACTGGGCCATCAGAACTGGGCCATCAGAACTGGGCCATCAGAACCGGGCCATCAGGAGAGTATCATATGGTAACCCCATGCTGTGGAAACATACAGCAGTTCAGCCACGAACTTGACCTGTATGTGACATATGAGCAAACCCACAATAATGCCCTGTTTCTTGACTAGAATATCTGGAATGAAAAGCTGCTGAAGACTACGTGGCCCTGGCCGGGTAGCTCAGTTGGAGTGTTGTCCTGATGTGCCAGGGTTTCAGGTTCACTCCCTGGTCAGGGCACATGCGGGAGTCAACCAGTGGGTGCGTGAACGGGTGGAACAACAAATCGATGTTTCTCTCTCTCTCTCCCCTTCTCTCTTTCTGAAATTAATAAAAAATTTTTAAAAGTCTGTGTGGCCATCACATTCACTCCAGTGCCCTAGATCCACTCCTGGACTCCCACGAGAGCACAGCCATCACGAAGGCCTGACACCGCCCGATGACGGTCTGTTTGACCTGTGGAGTCACTGGTGCTCGCGGAGTATGAATCACCTGCCAGCAATGCAGGCCTGTGGCTCTAGGTGACTTGAGGCACAGCGACCTGTGCATCTGCCCCGTTCACAGCAGGCACATCAGCTGCTGCAGCCAATGGACGCTGCAGGCACATCTGACCCCCATGGACCTGGTTTAGGATTTGGGTGGCTATTCTCTGCCACCAAATGGTCACCTCGACTCTTGAGGCTCTGCTGAGCCCCTTTGTCCTGTGCTGGAACGTCCTGATACGACACACTCTGACGATGGAATCACCTTCACAGCGCCGCCCCCAGCTGTGGGCCCCACCAACACAGAATGTGCTTGCCCTTCCAGGCTAGCCTCTTGCAGGAGCTGGGTGCGATCGAGACTCAGTGTGGCTGGCCCAGGAAGCTGTTCTATTAGCTGCTTCCTCACTGTCCTCTGCGGGTATCTGGGAGTGGGAGGGGTGCACCCGACATGCCAGGCAGAATGGTGATGGGTTTTTGTGGGGGTAAACGCTCTGGGCAAAGGACAGGTCATTTGGCTCCGCCCCGGTAACATGGTGGCCCCTAGCTGATCCAGCAAGAACGTATGCAGGCCATCTCAGAAAACAGACAAGGGCAAGGGGTAAATAACTTCTCCCCTCCTCTTCCAGATCTGGATAGGCCATGCTGGACCACCTCAAGGGCTGCCCAGGCCAGGGCCCGCTGCATGAGCCTATCACAGTTCCGCCAGCCCACCCACCATACCCAGCTACGGGCGACCATGTTGTTGTCCCCCTCTGACAATGGCGTGCACATTGCTCCTTGCTGGCTGTAGCCACCAACTGCTGTGCCTTGGGCCTCCACAACCACATGTCCATCAGCTGCATGGACGGTGTTGAGGTCCACTGGCAGGATATCAAACAGCATCCTTTGCATGCCCAGAACTGTTCCGTAGTTTGGGTGCAGGTCCTTCCTTACTCTCTCCTTGAACATAACACCACCTGCATATACAGACCTCTAAGCTCCAGGGTCAAGTGCCCAGCTGCCTCCTTCCACACCTTCACTCAGACATCTCAGAATTAATGCAATGAGTCCTGAACTCGGTCCTTCTGCTCCAAACCCCCTCCTCATCAGGGAGGACGCAGGCTTCCCCATCTCATCGTAAAAGTCAACCCCTGCCTTCCAGTCGCTTGGGTCAAAAACACTGGCGCTGTTCCCAACTCTCTCCTCCCATCCAGCCCCAAGGGCTCAGGGAGTCCTCTTGGCTCTGCCTTTGAGCACACCCAGAATCTGGGGCCCTTCTCCCTGCCTCCAGTGCAGCTCCAAGCCACCGCTGCCTCTCACCTGAATGAACCCCTGGCCTCCTGCCCCACCCATGCCCTGTAGTCCGCTCTCAACACAGAAGCCAAGGGGCTCCTTTAAAGACGTCAGTCAGGTCATGCCACTGCTCAGCTCCCTAGCTCACTCAGAGAACCGAAGGCCTCGTGGCCTCTGAGGCTCTCCGTGGCCCAGCCCTCCCTTACCTTTCCAGCCTTTTCTGCTCCTCCGGCCCTCACTCAGTCTGCTCCCACTGCTGGCCTCCTTGTGCTTGCCCTTTACCATGCTAGGCACCCTCGTACGTGAAGGCCTCCGCGTTGGACGTCCCCCACACCATGGACTCTTCCTCTGCTGTGTGTACCTCCAACTCCCTTGCTTCCTTTAGCAGATTTGTTAATGCTCCTTTCTCAAAGAGTGACTGCCCGGGTTAATGTTAGAATCTGCCCCCTGACCTGGCTCTATTTATTTTCCCACAGCAGGTAGTCACTTTCTAGTGTTTCATTTAGCTTATCTGCTGTGCTGCCCCTGCTAGAATATAAGCTCTGGGAGGTCAGGGGCCTTGGTCTGTGCCGTTCACTCAAGCACCTAGAATAGGGTCCAGCACTTAGTAGGTGCTCAATAAATGTGTGTTGACAGTGAGTATGTGTTGCTGTGTCTGCTGTGCCATCATGTCCTCCTCTAGACCCAAGTGCAACCCCTCGTGTATGGTTGACCCCCAAATGTGTCTGGCGCATGACTCCATGGGTTCCCGAGCAAACAGATGAGTTAATAGTCAGAGCCTGACTGGGAAAAATGCTAAGTATCTTCATAGATCCTTTCGGAGAGACGCTTTCCTTTTTAAAGTTTAACTTGTCCTTGATAGCTTTTCAGCCACATTCTTCTTTCCAAATGGTCCTGGTGCTGAGGGTGGGGGTAATTGTTTACTTACTCTGGGAATGTTCTAGAATAAATTTTGGGACAAAGTGACCTCAACATCCTATGGGAAGGAGGCCACTTTGAGGGGTAGACCTTTGAAGAAACAGTTTCAGGTGAGGGCAAAAAATGGAACCAAAGAGGAACCTCTGAAGTCTAGTCCACTTGAACTTGAGACCCTTCTAACCTTGCGTGGCCATTAGTGTCGGGGTTCTGCTCCTAATTCTCAAAACCTGAACGTATTCCACAGAGAAGAGAAACCAGAAAACCTCACAGAGAAGGATTGGGACCACTGGACTGAGTCCCAAAAGTGGGAGAAGAAAGGTGGAGGAGAAAATAGAGGGAAAGTGAGAGGAGGAGGCAAGGGGAGAACAAGAAAGGTGGGGAGGGGAAGGGGAGAAAGGCTGGGGGAGAGGGCGAGGTGGACAGGGGGGAAGAGGGGAGACCTGTGGGGGCCCTGGGAGGAGAGGGAAACCACAGCAGCGGCAGTAACAGTGGCTAAGGTTTATTGAGCACTTACTGTGTGCTGGCCGAGGCACTGTGTGCTTTAGATGCCTTATCTCCTGGAATCCTTGCTCCCACCCCAAGAGGGTAGCTTCCATTTCATTCCCCTGTTTTACAGATGAGCGTGCTGAGGCCCAAGTCAAGCCAGAAACCCCATCAAAGTCCTGTAAGCAGTATGTGGTGGGGCTGGGATCTGAACCCTGACAGCCTGACTCAAGGGTCCCCCGGGTGAAGTTTAGGCTGTTCAGAGAAGGAATGATTTTTTCCAGAGAGCAGTGGGCAGCCACGGAGGGCTATTTAAACAAAAGACTGATATGATCTCTCAGCTACAAAGAGGATGAATAACTCCTCTTTCAAGGGGCTGTTGCGGAGATTATCTTGGTTCATCGAGGAAAGTCCTTGGACAAAAGCCTGGAGGAAGAGAAGCACTCAAGGAACAGAAGATGCTTCAGAGGATTTCACGCATGAGCATCTACTGTCACCATGTGGTCATTTTCTGTATGACAGGCTACGATGCCAGCTAAATTTGGGAGGGGTGGGGTTGTCCCGGGAGACTTGGTCTGGGCGGTCAGAAAAGGCTTCACTGGGGCTGGGGCAAGGCGCAAGCTCCTGGAGAGGAGCTGGTGTCCTGGGGGTGAGAGTCGTTGTTGCAGAGGTGCAGAACCCTGTAGCGGATGAACTGATTCAGACATTCAGGGTTGGCCACACAAACCAGAATGAGATGTGGTCTTTGCCCCGGAGGACCCCCTATCTGAAGGGGAGACCACATGGGAGACATGGTTGCGTCTGCGAATTAGTGGGGAGGATTCCTGGGCCCAAATCCTAGTCCAGCTGCTTCCTGGGGCCTCACTTCTCTGAGCATCCGTTTCCTTGTATGTGAAATGGGGACAGAACAGAGCCTGCCCGGGGACTGTCGTGAAGACCAGGGGAGGTAACAGAAAGCACTAAGCACCTGTACCTGGCACATTGTCATTGCTATGTGGCCCAGAAGCAGGATGCTCAGCCAGCTCTGAGCCTCAGGAAAGGTGAACTAAACAGCCAGGTAAAACAGAGACAACCTGGCCCCCAGCTCCACCGCTGCACTAAACCAGCTTCGAGACCTCCTCTCCCGGAGCCTGTTCCACCAGCCACACAGTGTGAGGTCCAGGTAAAACCACTCGGCTCTCTTCTCGTTCTGATTTATCAATCCCCTCTCCCAGGCCAGCCCAGATCTCTGGCCAGGCGGATATAGAAGAAGACCTGGAAGGCTTGCTTCCACCCATTCACATACCCAACTGCTGGGCATCAGCAAAACGGAGATAACAATTCAAGCCCCATTCAACCACAAGGTGGCTGGGAGGCAACTGAGATAACAAAGTGAAAACGGGTGCAATCCATGAATTGCAAAGCCTTGCTCCTCAAAGGGTGGTCCTGGGACCGGACCAGTATCAACAACACCTGGGAACTTGTGAGAAATGTAGACTCTCGGGTCCCGCCTGAGCCACCGACGCAGAACCTGCAGTTCAACTCAGTCCTTGGCTATCCCTGCACACATTTAAAATCAGTTAGAGACACACTGGTCTAAGCGATGGTTCTCAACGCTGACCACACGGGTGAATCACCCAGGGGTCTTGAAAAATCATGACCCCTTGGGGTCTCTGGGGGTCGGACATAGACAGCAGGAGTTTTTAAAAGCTCCCAGACGTATTTCAGGGTCCCTGGGGGGTGGGACCCAGACGGCAGCGAGTTTTAAAAGCTCGCCAGTGTAAACAGTGTTATTAATGGAGCCAGAGCTGCCTCATACCTCCAACCTTGGAATGTTAAAAACGGGGCCAGATAACCTTGGGTCAGGGCCTCAGCACCCTTGTGCTTTGCAAAAGAACCATTTGCAAAGACAACAAGAGAGTACGTATTCTGACTACTGGATTGATGGCTAGTGGACAGAAAATTAAAAACACTGCTTAGAGTTAAAATCACTCTTATTTTATCCACACCCACAGACATGCCTCCTTCTACTGAAGAAATCGTTCCCCTTCTCCTTCTCGTAGACACCCGTTGCCTTTGCCTCCTGGTTGGACCAGTATGTGGGCTTCTGCCTGAATGAGTGGTTCCCGAATGGCTGTTCTTACTGATCTCAGTGAGTGCTTGTTTGCCTCTCGCTGTGGATGGCTTTTTTACTTTTAAGTTGCCACCAGGTAATTCCACTTTGCACTCCTATCTAGTGCCAGGAAGGCAAACACGTTTTCTCTTTTGTGCCAACGTAAAATCAATGGGGAGTGACTTTCTAAACGTTCACTGGGAAAGATCTGACGTCTGCCCCGGGGGCTGGGTAGACGCTGAGGCATAAAAGCCGAGTTACAACAAGAAACTAGCCTGTAGAGTCTCACTTGTTGCAGGTCCTGGGCTACCTGCTTTGCAGGCACATCGCGATTTACTCCTAACCGAGATACTATTGTCCTTGATTTTATAGCTGAAGAAACAAAAAGGGCGTGACTTCCCCAAGCCTACACAGGCAGTAACAGAACTGGGGTTTGGACTGAGTTATCTGAATGTTTAACAGGTAGGCTGACCCCAGTGGTTTTCAAACTGTGTTTCTTGGAACCCCAGGCTCCTCAGGGGCAGCAGAGGGGCTGGTGTGGGTGCTGGATGAGGCTCGGAGGCCTGTGGATGGGTTCTTTCCCCCAGCAACTCTTTATATTGGGCTTGGCAAAGACTCTTTCTGGGGAGACCGTTCCTTTGCTCACCAGCCTGGAGCATCTTGGGTCACGTGGTGCTGTCCAGTCTCCCTGACAGATGTTCCCCCCTCCCCGCTGCCTGGGGACCCCAGGAATTAATCCCCAAGGCAGAAGGCACAGAGGACTTAGTGCCTGGGGAAATCAGGCACCACATCTGCCAGCCCCTGGGAGCCTGGGAGGAGCCTGGGCCTCAGAGCCCGGGAAGCCACCCTGCCCTCCAGAACTCAGGGGGTCTGAGAGGCACAGGCCAGCCACAGCTGGGCGGGCACTGCCCTGTCTTTCCTGAGCCTTCCAGAAGACGGTGAGCTGGGGGCTAAGCACCCTGGGGGTTCGACAGGGTGATCAGCTCTCTCATTTGGGAGGGGGAATTTGGGATGTTCAGGGCTTAAGGCAGGACCGACCTGGGCAGACCCAGATGGGTGGACACCCTCGCGGGTTTTCTGAGCTGGCTTCCCCTTGGCCTTGAGGCGGAGCTCCATGAAGGGAGGGGGCGCTTGGCCTCCCTCTGCTTCTAGCATTTCCCGGTCCCCTTCCTCTCTTTCCAGCTCTGCCCCCCTCCTCTCCCCCGCCCAGATCTCTCTTTGCCTTCACACCTCTAACTGAATTTCCCACTCACAGTGTTTCCCCGGCTGTGGACTTGATCGTCAACGAGCTGGAATCTTGTGCGTCTCGGACAGAATGAGGAGCCAGGTGAGGCCCAGTCCCACAGTCTTGCTTCGAACGTCAGCCTAGACCACCCCCCGAAACCTCTGCCCTCAGCCCATCGTTTTTAGAGTGAGCACCACCGGCCGCAGGCATTTCAAGGGTTTTATGTGTATTAACCCACTGAACTCTCAGAACAAACCAGAAACCTCTCCTCTTCCATTTCACATCCCTGGGCCTCTGACTGGAGTGACCATGACTCATCCCCAGCTCCCCGCCCCCTGAGCTCTGTGCCCATGACCTGTACCTCTGTCTCCCAGAGAAATTAGTGTCGGCACAAGCTGCTGATTGGTGAGCAGCCTCCCAGCGGTTTCCCACCCGTCATCGCGTTCGCCCTTACCTAAAATTCTATGGGGTGTAGGAACGAAGGTCATCCCCCTATGCAGGTGAGAAAACCGGGACTCAAAGAGGCGAAGTCATTCGTCCAAATCTAGGAAGGGCAGAACCAGGGTCCGGTCTTGCTTTACCTGGGCCCGGAGACCTGTGTCTGACTGCTCCACCGTCCTGCGGGCTCCATGGGGACAGGAGTTGGCCACAGGCACAGAGCCTCAGGGCGCAGCACTGCGCCTGGCACACAGCTGGCCCTTGGGGATTGCTTCCGAATGTGTGACTGGACCAGGAAGGCTGTCCCAGGGTGGGCGGTGAGAAGGAGGGAGGAGGCGGGGGTCTGTGAGCTGGAGAGCAACCCGTGGAAGGCGGTGCGGGAGCTGTGGTCGGGGTGGGCTTTGCGAGAGCCTGGCTCTTCCTGAGCCCTCCCCCCACCAGTGTTTTCCCGCTGGAAAGGGGAGAACGGGGAGAGGGGTGAGAGGGGAGGGGAGAGACTCCTAGTGGCTGCGGTTGGTAAGTCAAACTGTGAGCAGCTGGCGAGCAGCTTAGCAGTTAAACGCTGGCTGTGCCGTAGGGGCTGTTGGAATAAATCCTGAGATTGGAGGCAGACGTGAGATGAGCCTGGGCCCCAGAGGAGAGCTAAAAGTTGGGGTGCAGAGACCCCAGCCACATGCAGAGGGCAGGGTGGCGCACCGCACAGAGCTCGGCCCCTAGCTCTGTCGCCTGCTGTCCACAGCCTCAGCAAGTCATTTGCTGCCTGCGCTCCATTCTTCACCCGGAGAGGTCCTGCCGCAGGCGCCTGGTTGGGGAGATGCGCAGGCCGCGCACCAGGGCGTCCCCTGGCCCTGCCCCTGCTCACACTCAAAGGGGAGCACGTTCACACTGCGCTTCTGCACAGACCAGCCGCTGTGCCTGAGAGCCCCATTCGCTCCTCTGACACCCAGGGAGAGGCATCTGCAGGCTCTTGGGATCTTTAATGGTTTCATTTAAAGAAATGAAACTGGGTTATAGTTTACATGCAATAACATCCATTCATTTTGGCGTACAGCTCTATGAATTTTGACAACTACATACAGTCCTATAACCACCACCACATCAAGATATAGAACATTGGCTCCGGCTGGTGTGGCTCAGTGGATTGAGTGCCAGCCTGTAAACCAAAGGGTCACTGGTTCAATTCCCAGTCAGGGCACAGGCCTGGGTTGTGGGCCAGGTCTCCCCCAGTGGGGGACACATGAGAGGTAACCGCACATTGATGTTTCTCTTCCTCTCTTCCTCCCTTTCTTCCCCTCTTTCTAAAACATAGATGGATAAATTCTTGAAGAAAAAAAAAAGATACAGAGCGTTTCCATCACCTCCCCAACCCCCCTCTGCCTTTTGTAGTTTACTCCATCTCTGCTCTGGGCAGACACTGAGTTGTCTTCTGTCCCCACAGTTTTTTGCCTTTTAAAGAATGGTATGAAAATGGAATGATACAGTCTGTCGCCTTTTGAGTCTGGCTAATTTCACTTAGCACAATATATCTGCAATCTAGCCACATCGTTGCGTATATTGGTAGTTTGTTCTTTTACTTTGCTGAGTAGTATTCCATTGTATGGATGTACCATGGCTTGTCTATGCATTCACCAGCTGAAAGACATTTGGATTGTTTGTAGTCTTTGAGAATTATGAATAAAGAATGGCTTCAGTGTAAACCCCAGATTCTACAGCTGGAAGGTGCTTAAGAAGCCAAATGAGATTTCCAGATGTAAAAGTAAACTCTTTACAAACAGCCCGGCCCTCTCCAGCAGTTGAAGAAATGGAGACCCCACGAGGGGGTGGGACTTGTCCAGACTTACAACTGAATCAGGAAGTGGGGCTGAGATTTGAATAAGTCTTTCAACTTGCAGGGCAAGTTCAAAGTGCATTTCCTGAGCACCTGCCCGTGCCAGGTGGAATGCCAGGCGTTGTGGGCAGAAAAGCCAAGAAGGCATGACCCTGGCACTAGGGACACTCGCTACCTGGTCGGGAGCCAGACAGAGAAACCAGGGCAGGTTACTGTTACAGTGCAGTAATGGGTGTGCACAGAGAGGAGAGGACCTCGGGTCTGCCTGGGGAAGAGTGAGAAGGCTTCGCAGTTGCCCATGGGTTCAGAGGGAGGAACATGAGTGTGTTGAGGTGAAAAGGACAGTCAGAGGGAACAGCAGGTGCAGAGGCACGGAGGGGAACCACGTGGGGCATGGAAGCCCAAGGACGCAAGGGGCAGGAGGGGTTCGTGGCGTTGGTCAGAGTCAGGTCACAGAAAGCCTCTCTGGCCAGACTGTTCCCTGCAGGACGGCACCTGGCACATAGGAAGTGAACGACCCTTGCTGTGGAAGAGAGTGGAGGACTGGACGGAGAGGGTGGGAACGGAAGGTCCGTGAGGCTGTAGGGAACAGAGCCGGGAAAGCGGGTGTCAGTGCACGGACACCGGTATGTTTCAGAGACGGTGCAGGAGCCAGAGGGAGCTGGGGCGTTCAACCAGTGGTGCTGAAACAACTGATTACCCGCAGGAAAAAAATTAGATCCTTTCTATACTTTCACACAAAAATTAAACATTTTTGTGTGAAAGTATAGAAATCCATATTTGAGGCCTCGATGAAAAGGATTTCTTCAGCACACTCAGCAAACACACACAGAGAGCAAGCAAAAAAGATGGGGCAGATAGATCTGATTGGCAGCAACCACAGCCAGCACCGAAGCCCTCTCTTCAACAGTAACTGCAGACAGGGCTCGCTCCGTGCCAGACAAGATGTCCCTTATACAAATCCACTCAACCATACTACACGTTTGTGGGGCAAACGCCACTGTCATCTCCATTTCCCAGGCGAGGACTCAGAAGCAGAGAGGTTACATCACTTTCTTACAGTCACACAGCCGGGAAGTGGCTGAACTAAGATTCCACGTCAGCAATCTGGCCGCAGACTCTCCACTACGCTATTCTGTCTCTCAATAGAAGTCACCATAAACGCAACACGACAAGGCAAGCCGTAAGCAAGAGAACCTGGAACTGACAAGGAGCTCTAAGTGAGGAAAACTAAATAGGAAAAGAAAACAACAAACAGGCAATGGACAAAAACAATCCACTCACAGAAATGCAAACGCAAATCCATACAATAAACACACCAAAAGGAGTTCAACCTTATTAGTGGTCCAGAAAAAGACAAATCAAAGATAGCAGTGAGAATCACAAGTGGGGGGAGTGTGGACTGGAACCACCTCGGAGGGCACTGGAGGGAATCTGGTTAAACTGAGGATGGCTGTACGTGACCACCCAGAAATGTCACTCCTAGGCACAGTGACGGCCCTCGAATGAATAAAATACTCGCATTTTTAAGGCGGCCTGGCCCAACTCCACGCTCTGTGGTATAATGAAATACATTCGTACAGCAGCACACTCCACAGAAATTGAAATGAATAATCCCACACTACATGTATCGAATGGGGGGATGGGGAAGCAAGCTGCAGGATAATACAGTAGGGTATCATTTGTATAAGGTTTGAAACGTGTGAGACAATACCACATGCTCCCTGTGGATGCATAAACACAGTCAAGGAGTAAAAGCGTGTGTGATGATAAGCACCAAGGTCAGAATGGGTGTTTCATTTGCGGGGAGGGAGAGGAGAGTTAAACTGCAAAGAATAACGCAGAAGGCTTCACCTCTGCCCAGAACATTTTCGTTTTATCCATCCACTCATTTAACAAATATTCATTAAGGCCTACGATGTGCCAGGGACTACTGGAGGCCCTGGGAATGCCACCGTGAACAAAACTGGACAAACCAGAAGCCGTGGAGGAGAGAAAGAAAGTGAGGAAGCGGCCCCTTCCTCGGAGAACGCAGCCTCGGTCAGGCAGATCGGCTGACAGCAGCTGATCGATTGTTATACAGCAGAGAGAGTCGGATCTGCCCCACAACAGAGGCTCTCCCCGAGTGCCTCGGAGGGGACCTGGGTGAAGACAGTTGTGGACGTTTCCGTGGAGGAGGTGCATGTAGTTGGCTTAGACAGATCACTAAGCACGTAGAACGAGAGAGCCTGCCCGGCAGAAGGGGCAGGCTCTGCAGAGGCACAGAGGTGCGGAGGTGCGCCCTGGCCGAGCTGTTGAACGGGTCACACCTTGGTTCCATGGGTGTGAAATCTTCCCCAAGCTGTGGACTTCCAGGACGCCTGGGTGAACCTAAGGCACAGGAGGGGCCGGGGAGGAGTCCCTCTCTCTATTTTGCCCTGGCTGACGCCCACGGGGGCCGGACGACACACGGACGCCCATGTGTCGTCTTCCTTCCAGGCTGGGTGGCGGCTCAGCCAGCTGAAAGGAAAGAGGAAGTGGCTCCTGCCAGGCTCCTGCAGCTTCTTCTTCCTGCTCTCCCTGCTCATGACTGGCTGCTTCCTGTGGCAGTATCACCTCCCCAAGCTGCAGACCGGTGAGTGCCCCAACACCCTCCAGTTTCTCCCACCCACGTGGTCCTTGTGGGCTTGGAGCTGCTACTCCTGTCCCGGGGTTTAGGGGAATCTCATAACCTCCAACGAGACCGAAACTCTGTGTCTTTGGACCAGCCGCCTGGTCTCTCTGTGCCTTGACGTCCTTGTGGATGTCCTTGAGGATCCTAAAACGAGGATCCTAATGCCACCTCCAAACGAAGTGATTTATTCTTTCTCATGAGTCTGTGGGTTGGCTGGTAGTTCTGCTGCTGGTCTAACCTGAACTCTCTCCAATGCAGCCGGCAAGTCAGCTGGGAGAGCTGGGTCTGGCCCTCCCTGGGGACTCTAGTGCTCAAGGCTGCTGTTCCAGGCTTGTCCAGGAGAAGGCAATATTCCCAGGGAGCAAAGGACCATTAGGACCTAATTTTGGAAGGCCCAGGATCAATGATCAAAGCCACAAAGCCAGCCAGAGTCAAGAGTGTGAGGAGCTGAAGGAATTCATGGCCACAGTGAATCTCCAGCCTTGTCTCCGTGCTGGGTGGTCTCAGGAAGGATTTGAAAAGGGTGCCAGAGCCTCTGGGTGCTGGTACCCTCACCACCCCCACACCATCCTCAGAGGGTGGGGGGAGGTCTGGGGGCCATTGGGATGATCCCTCAGCCTGCATCCTGCTCTTCCAAGGCCCAAACCTTCTCCCCCGAGGTTCTGAGGAAGCCATGAAGTCAGATCATAGCTGAGTGAGGCTCGAGTTCCCCATGCCCAGAGGCACGGCTCTGGTGACAGAATGAATTGTCCCTCGGAGTTTACGCCCGAAGCCTGTGTGAGGTCCCAAGTCCACTTCTCCACCCAAACAGACACTCAGAACCGGGCGAGGAGAGGCAGGCAGACACACCGGGCCGAGCCTGCCCCAAGCGGCTGGGACTTGTCTAAGTCTGCTGCTGATGAGATCAGCAGGAGGAGAAGGAAGCTGGTGGTGCAGGAGAGAAGGGCTGCCACTGGGAACTGCGGCCTGACTGGTGTCTTGAAGGTCGAGCAGCAGCTGGCACGTGTGGAGCCGTCCCCTCCCCAGGTGTACTCTGCTGCTTGCCCCGTGACACCCATGGCTGGTGTCCGTGCCCTGGCATCTCCTGGCGGGGCTGTCGCCAGCTGGGAGGGTGTGGCTCTGGCCTCTGCTGCTACCTCCCCACCCCCGCCAGGATGACCTCGAGGCTCCTGTCCTGATCTCTACCCCTTTCTCACCATGTGATGTCCCCGGCAGGTTCCTTGGGACCAGAAGCCACCTCTGCCCCTGTGAGGATGTGTCCCCAGCACCCTGAGCCTGTGCCCCTGGCCCACCCACTCCCTGTGCTGAAGGAGGCCCTGGAAAAGGTCAGTGATGATGACCCGGGGGGGTGTGCTGGGCTGGGGTGATAAAGCGGGGGGCACACACTCTGGGCTGGGAGTGGCGCTCATTCACTCATCATGTAGTTTCTGAGCACACACTGACCCGAGACTAGACACCAGGGACGTGACAAGAAAGTACCGTCCTGTTCTTAAGAAGAAGCTACCAGTCTGGGAGTGAGGGAACAGTCGAGACACTAAACACTCATAACACAGGGTAAGAGTGAGGACAGAGAAGGTGTAGGGGACTGTGGGGGACAAAGGAACTGACCTTGGCGTCAGGGAAGCCTGCTGGAGGGAGCGGTGTGTAAGCTGAGATGTGAACCGGAGGTACCCAGGTGATGTGCAGGTGAATAGGGAGGGAGCCTGGGGGAGTGAAGGGCATGCCCCAGATAAAGGGAACAGCGTGTGCCAAGACCCAGAGTGAGCAGAGTAGGTACACAGCACGTGGAGAGAACTACCAGGACATTCAGTCTGGGGGGGCACAGGTGGAGGGGGGAGAAGAATGAGATTGGAGAGGATGACAGGGCCCATATCACAGAGGCCACTGTAAAATAATTAATCCCCCCGCCCCCGACACACACACAGTGTAACATTTACCACTGACGATGGCCTAACAGTAGAGTGGGCTGTCAGCTAGCCACCGTCTGTGCCAGTCAGGCCCCAGCCACTTGGGTCACTCGCCTAAGGAGACAGGGACAGATGAGATGTGATCAGAAGTGAATGAGCAGCAGCATGGTGGGGGGACTTAAAACTGTCACCCAAGGAACAGCTGGAGGGAAGGAAGCTGGTGCTTGCATGTAAGAGAAGGCGCAGGCCAAGGCAGAGACACAGTCACCGTCTGCAGATGCGTGAATGGCTGTTGTGAAGGGGAGGGCACCAAAGTGTGCCAGGTGGCTCCCTGGTGCTGCGTGGTCACAGTCATGAAAGGAAAAGCAATGATAATAACCGTGGCTGCCTTCTGGTGAACACCTGGTGTGTGCTCACCTCCGTGTGTGGACACCTCAGGAGCCTCTGTCTGCGGAGGAGCAGACTGAGATTCAGAGGCAAAGTCAGTGCAGGGTGGAAGCTACCAATAGACAGAACTCAGCTCGGGACGTGGAAGACCCCTCGGCTGGCTGGTCCGGCATCCGTTAAGAACTGGGGCTACAGTTAGCAGGGAGTTCCAACTCTGATTCCACCAGCCATTGGTCTCTTGGGCAAGTCACTTTGTATACCTCACAGACTCAGTCTTCTCATCTGTCAAATGGGGAGGCACTAGCACTGACTTATGAGGACTAAGTGAGAAGATACATGAAAATCACTTTGTACCAGGCCTGGCACATTCTAAATGCCGGTACATGTTAGCTGTTGTCGCCACTGGTACACGTCATTGCTGAGAAGAATGAGGCATTTTTAATCAACGTTCAAAGAGAACGTAGGGGCCTTCTAGAAACAGTGAGTTCGCCAACACGAAGGGATCAGACTAGGCCTATTGGAGGTTTTCTAGGGCGTCAGACAAGGAAGGATTTGACTAGATGGGTGCTTTTGTCTGCTCCTTTCTTTTATGTTTTGCCAAGGAAATGTTTCTTTGGGAAAAAACCTCATGAGGAAGCCCCACATATAAAACACACTCTAGGGGAGCTGCTCCGACTGCAGGCAGGGCGGGGCCCACTGCAGGGGCATGGTCTGGGAGCCCAAGGTCTGGAGGTTCACTGGGTGAGGGGAGCGTTGTGGGGGAGCCACGCAGGGGTGCTGTGAGTGGGCTGTGGTGTGGGAATGGGCTGGGTGTGCGGACGACAGGCGGAGTGTGTCTCTGCACCCACACTTTGAGCCCCCTGCTCTTCTCCTGCAAGGTGGGTGAGACCCTGCGCGGGGCACTCTCTGCCCCAGGGCTGGCTGCCATGTCTGTAGTTGTCATCCAGGGAGACACCGTGCTCTGGACTGGGAACTTCGGGAAGAAGAACGGCTCAGACCCGGCTTCCGGGCCCCCCAATGAGTCCACCATGTACCGGTCAGCTGGGTGACCTCCAGGGTCCTGGGGGGCAGGTGAGGGATGGGAGGATGGGGACCTAGGAGGTAGCGGGACTCAAGAGAGTCATGACTTTGGGGGTGCCTCCAAGCTGTCGGGCCCCTTTATGAAGTCCTGACGATTTAATAGATGAGGAGACTGAGGTCCAGAAGGGACCAGTGAGTGCCCAACATCACATCCCAGGGGTAACAGGTCGGGAAGGAATCCTTTCTGGAGAGCGCTGAGTCCCAAACCTCCTAACTACAAGAGGCTCCCTTGTGTCCCATCCCTCCCTTGAGGCAGACACTGGCCCTCAGTGTCTGTGGTGTTAGGGATGAGACCAGACGTTCACGTGGACTACCGAGTCCTGTGGAGGAAAAGGCACGGCACGGCTACTCTCTCAAGGGGAGAGGGCGCTGACTCTTGCCTTGACACCTTGTATTGGCTTTCTAATAACATACATCAAAGAAGGTTTTCATTCATTATACTTAAGTTTGCTTTAGGTAATTACTTTTTACAGATAGCAACAGAAGGGATGTTACAGATTAGTTCTTACAGATTAACAAGGAAACAATGTTTCCAATGCAAGGGAACCATAAGAGTAACAGTTCTGGTTACACTTCAATCCTCGGGAGAATCAGCACAGACTTCAGGAAATTACTTTAAAGATACATAGCAAGTGCTTTCTGCCTGAACTCAGGGTGAGAGAGTTTTAGCAAGAGCAAGTCACAAAGCAGCCTAGGTACAATGCAGGCCTGATTTCCTACGGGAGTTCTTCATGGGCATGGTCCTGCGTGCTGACTCGCTCCCCACTGGTTTTCCACGTGGGTCCTGAGCTACATTTCTACATCTCTCGAAGTGGTTCCCCACACTCCCTCACCTCCATTGCCACAATGGAATTGTAACCAGTCCTGGGCTCTTGCCCCAGGTCCCCGCCACCTGGCAGCAGTGGCCCGGATAGAAACCACTGGGGGACATTCTGCTGCACACAGTCTCCCCTCCCAGATTTGCCTGCAAGCTCCTTTTTAAAGCTCACAATGCAAAGTGAGCGCATTTGCTTGCAGAGAAATCGGGAGGCTTACGGCAGTTCCTCTCATACCACGTCCCACACACTGCGCCATTCACAACGGGGCCAAGTATGTGGACAGCAAGTATACTTCCTGCCACTTATTGAGCCCTTACTATCTGCCAGGTATGTTGCCAAACACTTGATGTGCACAGTCTTGTTCGGTTCTTTCTACAAGCTGTGAAGCGGATAAGGACGCTGAGTCTCAGAAAGTCTAGTACTGGCCTAGGACCACTCAGCCAGTGAGAAGCATCCTGGGGGAGGGCCTCCCCTGGGGCAGATGCCAGGGGTGTCTGACCCGCAGCCTGTGGGCCGCATGCGGCCCAGCATGGCTATGGATGCGGCCCAACACAAAATCGTGAATTTAATTAAAACCTTTCTTTTGCTCATCAGTTTTCGTTAGCATTTGTGCACTTACTGTGTGGCCCGAGACATGCGTGGCTCTTCTTCTAGTGCTGCTCAGAGATGCCAAAAGATTGGGCACCGTAGTCTGGGGTCTCCCTCCAGCCCAGTCCTGCTGCCTCTGGTATATTCTGAAGCATCCCAAAGCCAGTTCTACAGAGCCACTGAAGAAGGTGGACTCAGCGCTTTCCTAGAAGGCTGGAAAGTTAGAGGCTGGGGCACAGGGTAGAGATGGGTTGTGGGGCCAACAGTATGTGCCCTGGGCCCGCAACACTGTCCAGGATCTCCAGCGTCTCCAAGATCTTTCCAGTCCTCATGCTGTACCGCCTGTGGGAGGAGGGCATTGTGGCCTCTCTAGATGACCCCCTGGAGCAGTATGCCAGCTCCTTCACCATTAACAACCCGCTGGGTGCGGCCTCAGCCCCCCAACAAGGGAAGCTGATGGATGGGCTGGAGGAGGTGGGCCCAGCCCCAAGAACTTCGCCCGTCACCCTCCGAAGGATGGCCGGCCAGCTCTCGGGTGAGTGGTTCTGAACTTATCTTGCTTGGCCCCGAAATTTCAGGTGGGGGAACTGATGAGCAGACTCTCATCCAGCCAGGCGAGGCCTGCTCCCTGCTCTGCTTCCTGAACAAGCTGTAGCTCCCTCTCACCCTCCCCAGGCAGTGGGCTGGGGGCAGAGAGAGCGGGTGAGAGAGCTGAGGTGAAGCCTGGGACTTTACATCAAGCGGACAAATCAAGATTGTTGGTAGGTCAAAAGCAAGTTGACAGGTCAAGATCTGCTTATTAGGTCAAGAACAAGACAACAAGTCAATATTTGTAGACAATTCTCTAATGAAGCCCTAATATCCCTTAATATATAAAGATCACCTACAAATCAATACAGAGACCAACAACCCGATAGAAAAATGTGCAAAAGGATGGGAATAGAATAGACAGTTCACAGAAAAGGGACCACAAATGGCCCTTAAGACTATTAAAAATATTAAAAGATGCTCGGACTCATTCATAACAAAATAAATGCAAATTAAAGCTACTGAGAGACATCTTCCCCTTTTCAGGCTGGCAAAGGCCCAAATGCTGGACACATGAAGTCGGTGGGGTCACGATGAAATAGGCCCTCATACACGTTAGTGGTGGGCATTTCAGTTGGCACGACCTGTGGGGAGGGCGCTTGGTCATCTCTGTCACCATTGAAAATGCATGTATCCCTTGACTTGGAAAGCACACTTCTAGGAAACTTACAGATGTGCTCACACATGCAGTAAGGAGGTGCGAACGTCATTATTCACTACAGCACTGCAATAGCAAAAGAGTGAAACAACCTGAAGATCTAAAAATAGGGGAGTGAATTAATAAAATATGCCAGAATCAAATACTCTGTAGCCTCAAGGAAAGGTAACCACGTTCTTTATGTGCTGAGATAAGAGTAAGGTACAGTGTTAAGTGAGAAGAAAAGCTCTTAGCATATCATAATGCATGTGTATGCACACACACGTGTGTGTGTCTCAAATGTCTTTGGAAGGGAAGTGAAGCAGTTCGTACAACAGGTTGTATTCAGGAAGGGGAACTGGGTGACTGGGGACAGGGTAGGAGAAAATTTCTTCATGGTATATCCTTTGGTGTCTGTTGAATTTTGGATAATGTAAATGAATTACTTATCAAAATAAATTATATGGTGATCATCATAATAGTGGTGATGCAACAAGCCGAGATGTAGTGACAGAATGGGAAGGCAGCACTGGATCAAAACAGGCTGGATGCTGTGGCGTGGCTCCGGAAGCTTCCGAAGCGCCCTCCACTGGCCCACAGTCCATCTGCCACCTGTGACTTTGGAGGGTGGGTTTAAAGCAGGGGTGTGGGAGGGGTGGCTGCCAGGCTGAGCTGCATAGTGAATGATCCAGCCAAGGGGAAGAAGGCGGGTACCATGCACCCCCCCAAATGCCTTTATTGCTCATATTTGCAGTCACTGATCTATCACCACGAAGGGCAGGAGTTCTTCACAAGTGCCCATCATTCATCACTTTACAAAGTGAGCTCAGGCCTGAGTCTCAGTCGGTGAACATGGCTGGGGCTCAGTGTGGGCACGGTCCCCTGAGGCAGCCCAGGCAGGACAGGATCAGCCCTCAGAGGAGGCTGGACTGGTCGCGAAGGGCAGGAGTCCTGGAATTCCTCCTAGCTGTGTGATCTCGAGCAGGTCACTTAAATTCTCTGAGCCTTGCTTTTCTCCTCTGGGAAATGACGGGAGTTCAGGCTACTATAGGGGGTTGAATGAACTAACAAGTATGGAGCGTTCAGCAGAGTCCCTGGCACACAGCACATACTTGTCAATGTGTCTCTGGTTATCGCAGCCAGGGGTAGACCTAGGTTTAGTGGGGCCTGATGTGGATATAACCTGGGGGTCCTCTTCAAGAATACGATGTTATAAATTCACAACTAGAGAAAGGTCTTGGAAAGGGCCCCGCAGGTGAGGGACTCTGAGGTTTAAACTCAGTGAGCCTCCTGCTAAATCTATCCTATTTTCAATCTGACTCCAGGGCTCCCTCTAGGGGTGTGCAGTGAATTGTTTTTCATATACCCAGGGAACCCAGCCCAGGGCTCCTAAGTGTTTGGTCATGTCTCCTCTTAGCCCAAAGGGGCCAGATGAGCATACAGCAGCTGAAATAACTCCATTCTAGGCTCTCAATGTCTTTTACAACTGACCCTTGTCCTAATTTAGAGCTTTTCCCCATTTTTGGAGCTTTTTATCCATTCTCTTAATTAAGCCTTGCAACACTTCAGAGGAAAACCACTGCAGGTGCTTCAGTTCACTTAAAGATGAGCAAACAGAGGCTCAGAGAGGTAAAGCGCATGGTCTGGGGTCACACAGCACAAAATGCTAGTCAGGACTTAAATCCAGGACTTGGGACTCCACCCCTCAGTTACTCAGGCCGAAAGCCTCAGAATCATCCCGATAGCTCTCACCCCCACATCCTCCACACCCTCTTGGGGAGCAAATTCCACTGGACTCACTCAGATATGCCCAGAATCCACCCACTGCTCACCACCTCCACTGTTAGCGCCCTAGTCCAAGCCACCGCCATCTAAACGTGGAATTTTCCAAGTGTGCTAACAGGCTTCCCTGCTTCTGCCGTTGCTCCCAAATGTCTGTGTTTGCACAGTGGCCAGAGCAACCTTGACAACATACAGGTCGTATTACATCACTCCTCTGCTCACAACCCCTGCAGCGGCCCCATCCCACCCAGGGAAGAAGCCAGGTCCTTCCGGTAGCCTGTAGCACCCTACAGGATCTGGTACCCACACCCTCAATAGCTCTCACCTCCAAAGTCTCCCACGTTCTCGCTCCTCTCCACCCACACTGGCTGTTGCATGCTACTCCTCAAACATGCCAGGATATCCCTGCCTCAGGACCTTTGCACTTGCTGTTCTCTCTGCCTTCTCCGGCTCTTACCTTCTCAAGGGTCACCTCTGCGAGGTCTTCCTCTGACCAGATTATTTTTCTCCGTAGCATAAATATTAGTTTGTTGACTGTCCCCTTCATTAGAATGCAAACTCCACATGGGCAGAGACTTCATTCACTGCCGAATCCCAGGTACCCAGAACTTGGCACAAAACAGGGAGGCATGAAAGCTATTGCTGAGGGGATGGATGGGGAGAACCCCAACCCTGTAATCCTTCCAGTATATGTCACGTCTAATAAACAGAAATGTCCCAGTGGTTAGCAGAGCCAGTTCCACAAGGCTGTTCGACCGAAGATCTCAAGAATTGTCTGGAATCAAACTTCTATGGTTGATGACAATTACTCTTTGAGCAATTCCTATGACCAGGCGCCATGCTAAGCATCTTATCTCACCTAATCCTCGAATCATCGCTATGACAGAGGTTATTTCACTCACAGTGTGGATGGGGGGGGGCTGGGGCTTGGGTGGTTCGGTGGCTTGCCCAGTGAACACAAACAGGGGTAGAGTCCGTCCTGGACTGCTTTTATATTTTAGACGATTTTGTTGTTGTTATCTTTCAACCCATGGGAGGTGGGGGGTGGCACACCCAAAGGCCCATCATCCCACCCTCAGCTGGCCCAGCAGGTCTGACCACTGCTCCTCCCCAGGGCTGCCCAGAAGGCTCCGGTCCACTTCGCTGCTGTGGAGGGGCAGCACCCAGGAGGCCCTGAGGCTGCTCAAGGATGATGTGCTGGTGGCGGACCCGGGAACCAGGTGAGGGGTGCGCCTCGATGCTCCACCAACATCGGGGACCTCCCAAGGAGACACAGCTCCCCCCCACCCCCCACCGAGGGTCAGAGACTGATCATCTCGTCCTGGGGGTCAGAGCCAGAAGAGACCTCAGGGGTCACTGAATACAGCCCTGCCCACAGCTGGAAAGACCGAGGCCCGGAGAGGGATGGTACAGCGAGGCAGGTTCCGTGTGAACCTCCAGCTTGTTCCATGCATCAGCTCAACATTCACTGAGCACCTGCTCTGCCCAGAATGTGCTAAACCGAGACACAGCAGGGAGCAAATCCAACCTGGTCCTCCTCAGGGAATCCGCATTCTTGTGAGGCAACAGCGAGCATTCTTATCAGTGAACAGAGGAGCAAGATAAATACAGCCTTTCTCAAGTCCATCATGGAAATAAATGGAAGACTGATGAGACAGGCAGTGGACAGCTGGGTGGGCACTGAACAGAGAAGCCCAGCTCTGGGGGCAGGGGGCTGGACAGAGGGCAGCTGGCACACCCCTGCCTCAGAGGCACCCTTCCAGGCCTTTTCTCGGGGGCGGGGGTGATGCTCTTTTTCAAACTTACCCCTCTGCTTCTCCAAATGCTGAACCCCAGGCGCCATCTCTTGAGGAAGAAAGGACCCGGGTATGATCAGACATCTGCAGGCTGGAGTCTTGCTTCCGGCACTGCCACTAACTAGCTGTGTGACCTTGCAGGAGGCACTTTGTGTCTCGGAAACTCGCCTTCTTCGTCTGTAAACAAGAGAGGACACGTTAGAGTTTGGGAATGTCTAAAAAGATTTGTGGGTGCTGGAATTACTCCTTCCCCGGAAAAGAAGGGAGTCACATCTTATTGATTATCGGTGTCTGCCATGGCTGGGGGACAAGGGAGGGGTGAATCCTGCCTCTGGTTTCTTATCCTTGAGCTACACGATGGCCAGAATTCTCCCCCTCCCCCAGAACAGTCCAAGACTCTAGTTTTGCATTTGCTAACGTAAATCGTACTGAAGTGTAAAGGACCAGTAAGATCTGTTCTACCAGGGGCAATGCCCAGACCGGCTGTCCCCCTGCTTGCTGTGAGGCCCAGGGCAACTCTCCACCCCTCTCTGGGCCTTCCTCTTTCCGGATGCAGAATCAGTGATCTCTGCGGTCTCCACTGGGTCTGACCATCTGGGATGCAGTGAAGCAGGTTCCTGACCCATCCAGTCCAACGACGCTCTGGTGGCAGGCATGTCATACCCTTTGAGCAGGCGGGGAGGGGACCGTTAGGGTCTGGAGCTGTTCATCCGGGGCTGCATCCAGTTCCCACCCCTCCCATTGCAGGTGCCATTACAGCACCCTGGCCTTCTCGCTTCTGGCCCACATCCTGGCAGCCCACACGGTTCAGGGGGACTACGAGCGCTGGATCTCGGAGAATGTGCTGGAGCCGCTGGGGATGGCAGACACAGGCTTCGACCTCACTCCTCCTGTCCGCGCCCGCTTGGCAGCTGGCTTCTACGGCAGCGGGAGGCCGGCACCGCTCTACGACCTGGGTTGGTATCGCCCCTCAGGCCAAATGTACTCCACCGCTGCCGACCTGGCCAAGCTGGCCATGGCGCTCCTGGGCAGCGGGCCCCAGCGGATACTGGGGCCCGACGCGGCCAAGACACTGCTAGCGCCGCTGCTTGCCTGCCCGGGCGCCTACTTCGCCAACGAGACCGGCACCCCTTGGGAGTTCCATGCGCAAAGGGGCTACAAAGTGGTCCGCAAGGACGGCGACTTGGACGGCTACGCAGCCACCTTCTCCCTGGTGCCACCGCTGCGCCTGGGTCTGGTGCTGCTGCTGGCCGGGCCCCGGCCGTCCGGGACCGACCTGGTGACCCAGGCTTACGATGTGCTCCTGCCTGCCATGGAGAGGGTCCTCCGGAAGGCGGAGCGCAGCCCGGCCCCGCCGCCCACTGCGCGCCCCTTCACCGGCTACTTCACTTTCGCCAACCTGACCTTTTACGAGGTGCGCCCCGGGCCTGCGGGCGAGCTGCGCCTGCGCCAGTTCGGGCCCCGCGTCGAGGCCCTGGTGCCCCCAGCGTTCCGCACCTTCGCGCTGCTTCACCTGCGGGGCCGCGTCTTCCAGCTGCACGTGGCCCGCGAGTTCCCGTGCGCGCTGCCGCTTGGCGACACCTGGCTCTCCCTGGAGGCCCAACACGGGCAGCTGGTCAACTTCTACCCACTGGACCGCCACGGGCTGTCCCCGGGCTTTGACGTGCCGGGCCTTAACACGTACCGGGTGCTGCGGCTGCTGCGCAAGCCCGTGTTCAAGACCCAGTAACCTGGGACTTTGGGTGGAGCCTTCCCTGCCTCACCTACCAGCTTTCCAACCTGGGTTTGGAAAGTAGGGCGGCGGGGATGTCCAAAAGAGAAACCGAGTAGCCGACGACGTGGGGCGAGGCAGAGCTACTACAAGTGTGATTCCCAGGGCACAGCTGGTGTGCAAACTGTTACCGTGGGGTCACGAGTGAGATGAGTTTCTAGTGGTTTCTGTCTCGTTCAGCTATGTAATTTTGTTTCAAACGGCATCAACATTTGATCTTTAAGACAGTTAACAGCAGACTTATTCTGCAGCCGGTGCCACCCTTGGCTCCTGTGGAAGTTCCCCTGGGCGCCTCCTTGGGACTCGGGGCCAAGCGGAGCAGCGTGTGAGGAACCCCCAGGGGGTGCTCCCGGCCCAGGCTAAGGAGTCGAGGGCTCCTCTGCATTCGTGTTTCCTCGGACTCTCACGGGGCTGCCGCCTTCTCATCCTTTAGCCCCCAGCTCAGATTCCCCTCTCCAGAGAAGCCTTCCCTGCCACCCTGTCTGAGTCTGCCGTCCTCCCTCACGGAACCACAGAGACCCCCTGGTTTCTTTCCCAGCGCTTAGGGCGGTCTGCCGTTATTTCTTTTACTTGCTTAAATAAGCATTGTAGAATGCAAGAAAGCAGGTACTTCATCGCTCCTGCTCCCAGGTGTAACCCCAGGGCCTGGCGCAGTGCCCGGCATGAGAATGCCATCAAGAAGTGTCTGCTGGGGGGAGGAATGAGGCTCAGAGAGGGGAAGCAACGTGGCTCCACCACACAGGAATACAGGGATAGAGCCAGGGTGAAGGTCAAGTCCTCTGACCGTCTTCCACCAGCCAGTCCCTGGCCTAGGGCTAGTGGTCACTATGGGCAGCGGGGAGGGGGCTGGGACAGCTCAGGGGCAGACACAGTAACAGGTGTTGCAGCAAACCTCGAGCCTCTTGGAATGACCTAGAGGGGACTGCAGGTGATGTGGGGAAGCAGGGCGTTGGGGTCTCCCTTCCGGGGAGACGAAGACCCCACAAAGAGAAGACGCAAGCCCAGGCCTCCAGCTGGGGACCTCATGCCAGGGTGGTCGGGCCACAGCTCCTTCTCGCCTAGAGGCTGAAGAGAGAGAAGAGAGGACAAGCCCAGGGCCTCGGTCAGGGAGGAAGCCTGTCAGACTCTCGCCTGAGAGCGCTTGGGGTTTCTCAGCTATCTCTCCAAGAGTGAAGGAGTTGAAAACCCAAGGCGAGACCCCTGCTGGCAGAATCCCAGGCATCGGGGGCAAGCGAGAGGTGCCCTGGCATCCTCCGAATCCCACCGTTGAAGGGAATCCGGAGGGAGGTCACGCAGTGTTCAGGCCGCTGTCAGAGCGACCCCCAGGGCAGGGACCATAGCCTCACTTGCCCCAGGCCTCCCCAGGTCACAAGTTGGTCCGTGAGGTTCTGGCTCAGCCTTGCAGGACTCCGCGGCTCTTTCTACCACTCCTTGTTGCATCAGGAGGTGTGACCTACGATGGGCTTACCTGGTAGGCCACCCAGGTGTGTGCCGTGCCGGCGGGACTGGGACTACTCACTGTCCCCAGAACAAAGCGGCCTCAGAGGCTCACTCCAGGGCTTAGTATCCCTGGAACAGTGTGAGGAAGGGTCCAGCCTCAGGGCTGGTTTTGAAGAAAGAGGAGGAAGAAGAGGGGATCTGGAGATGGTACTGAGTGCTCTGGTGTCACGGGGGGATGTGGGGAGAGAAGGCGCCAGAGCTTTCTGAGATGGAGTTCGAACATCCGGGAAAGAGCCGAAAGAGCACAGTTTCAGCGTAAAATACACCTGGGTGATTCCCCGACCAGGCCACATTCAGCTTGACCTTGGGCACTTAGGACACCCCACCTCCCTGAGCCTCGGCTCCCACCTTTGTAAAACGGGATAGCAGCCCCCTCTTACGCTGGTTGGCAAGAGCCAGTCACAGTTTCAGGGACTTTGTGAACCAGTTGTTAAATGGCATCATTAAAAATTAAATCACATAAACTTACGAAAGCATAAATTGTATTAAAAACAGACTCGACCTTAGTCGGTTCCTGATTCTTTAACTGTGTTGCCATTATCTCTGCTTTAAAGATATTGATCACTTACGTCAATTATATCTGAGTTCTGGGAATACTGTGTAATGACGTGTTACTGAGTATCTCCTGCCGAGCTGGCATTCGGTGACCCGTGTTGGTGGTTGGAAATCGGCCTGGGTGGGAGGATATACACCAAGGAAAGTGGCTGTGACTGCAGATAAGGGCTTGATTTATTTATCCTTTTGTTGACTGTCTGGACCTAAGAAAGTGCTGGGAAACACATTAATGTAGATTACATATCAAAGTGTGATATGGAGAACAGCACCAAAAATGGCGGAAATCCCCTTCCAGCCAGTGTTGGGCACTGTGATCTGATTCAGTAAAGAAGGGACCCGTGTCACTGAGCCGTGAGCGAAGTTCCAACACACACCTTTGCTTCTTCGCTTTGATTAGTCCCTAGCCCAGACGAACATGTCGACCAGCGTTCAGGAACCACATTGGGGGGTCGGTCGACAGACCCTCAGCAGCACTCGCACCCCTAGGTTCCGTGACAAAACGCATGTGGCGGTGGTGCCCCTTCCCCAGATCACACCCAACGAACTCCCTGTCTGGTGTAGCTCAGTGGATTGAGTGCCGGCCTGCGAATTCCCAGTGGGGCCACGGGCCTGGGTTGCAGGCCAGGTCCCCAGTGTGGGGCCATGTAGGAGGCAACCACACACTGGTGTTTCTCTCCCTCTCCCTTACCCTCTCTAAAAAATAACAAAAGAGTAAATAAAATCTTTAAAAGTAATAAAGACAAGCACACTGGTTAGGTAACTACGACCTTCGGAAAAATTCCCTAGTCCCTCATTTCAACCAGATTGGCTGCTCCTGAGTTCTCACTATAGGAAAATTCTGGGACCAAATGACTGGCCTGAGACACAGCCTTACCGTATTTTGCTGTGTATAATGCACACTTTTTTTGCCCAAATTTTTGAGGGAAAATAAGGATGCACATTATACACAGGTATAATGATTACACACCGTGGGTGTAATAACCCCATGTGTAATGTGCACAAAAACATGGGTGTGCAGTATACACAGCAAAATACGGTACTAATGTCAGGAGTGGGAGGTCTGAAGAGGGGATTAGCTCTGGTGCAACCTTCTCTGCTTCCTGCCCCATCACTGCATCTCTAGTTCCCCACACTGGCCTGGACCTTAGCTCGGGTGGGGAGCAGGAGGCAGGGAGTCAAATCCTCACCATTCCCCACCAGCCCCAGGACACTGAGCTTCCTCCCTGGGGCTCAGCTCTGGCCTGTTACCAGCCCCTGCCCCCAGGGGGCAGAGTGGCTCCATGGATGGGAGGGTTAGGTCCACATACATCCCCCCTGTTTCCCATCGGGACAGGGAGTAACCCAGAGCCTTCTGGGTGCCTGGCTCTCCGCGGGCACTCTGCCGGGACCCCACATGCCGGCTCCTGTTCTCTATTTCACTCTCATTCAGGTCTTGCAAGGCAGGGTCTGTCATGCTCTCCCTGCTCAGATCCCAGGCCTTCGGGTGGTCCTCCCCCTACCCTCCTTGTTGCGTCCTCTTCAGACCTCCTCCCTATAACCCAGGGGTCCCTCCCCCTCCTGCCGTGACTATTTTAGCTCCTGGCTTGGTGTCACGGCCCCCAGCCTCTCCAGCAGGACTCTTGACACTTGAGGGAACTCTGTGGAATGATGCTGCCACATAGTTCCCTGAAGTGACACCTGGCCCTTCTGTTCCTTGACCCCTCTCTTCCCTGGATCTGCCTGGACCTGCAAAAGATGGGACATTAGAAATAATCCCCTCCCCCAACGGAGGCCTGGCCTCTCTCACCACAGAGAGTGCAGGAAGCGTGGTTTAAGGGATTAAACAGGACGATCTATGCAGAGTGCTCAGAACCAGGCCTGACAGAAGGCAAGTGCTGGGCGAGTTGTCTGTGGTTGAGAGGTGACACAGGGGTGTGTGTGTGTGTCTGTGTGTGTGCGTGTGTGGTTGGATCAGTGTGGGGTGGGCTTGAACATGAGCCTGCACCCACGTGTATGCATGAGTACGTGGGCGTGTGGGATTGGATGGCTTTGTGTGTACCTGCGTGTCTGTGTGGCTGATGGCACAAGTGAGTGCGTACGGGGGCGAAGGGGCCCTTTATGCACGTGTGTGTGTGGATAGGGGTGGGAGGCTGGGGCAGGCGCCCACTCACGTCTTGCTGCCTTGGAACCAGCAGCAGCAGCAGCAGGAGCCACAGAATCTCCAGCTTTACCATCATGCCATCCAGGGGCCAGAAGGGGAGGAGGTGCCAGCAGTGGGCAGGGGGAGGGGCAGCTGGTGGCCCCAGGACTCTGCACGCTGAGCCATCAGGATGTCTGGGGCAGAGCTGGTCCAGCAGACACTTTGGGCTGATGAGGGTGCGTGGGGGTGGGGGGCGGGCCATTTCTGCAAGCCCACCTGCAGCTGGGGGAAGCCTCCCCTAACCCCGCCCATGGCCATGATGCCAAACTCAGTGAGAGACTATGGGGAAAGCTCCTCCCGTTTCCCTTTGTCTCCTTGGTGACACGTTTTTGGCAGCAACAATGCCTCTGTCCCTGTGAAATGACTGAGCCTGTGGATGTCCGTACAGAGCCAGGAGGGACAATGAGAGGTCTCAGCTGCCCCTTGGGTGGGAAAGAAGAGTGAGCAGAAGACTGAGAGGAACAAGTAGGGGTTGGTGAGAGAGCTGGGAGGGAGGGGACCTGGGCCAGACCCCCATGAGACCACGCTGGATCCCAGAATGGGCAGGAGAGCCCAGGGGGAGCCCAGTGCAGGCCGGGGACCGGGGCCGGTGGGACTGCAAGGGATCAGTCTTCACAGAGGCACTGGACTGGGACAGACTGATGTGGTCTTGGGTGGCGGGTCAGCGGCTCCAGGGTAAGGAAGGCAGTGGGTTGGCACGCCGGGCTCTAACGGTGCTCCGTCCCCAGGGTGGTGTGTGACCCAGGGCTTCACCGTGTGACCCAGGGCTTCACCGTGCGCTCTCGGAATCTTCTTCACCCAGCCTCCGAGGGCACCTCACAGGGGCCGGCAGCCCTGTCGCCAGTGTGGGCCAACTGGTTAAGCTGCCATTTGCTGTTTTTTTTTTAAGACGTAATTTATTTATTTTTAACGGACTATAGAAATGATCCCTGAAAGTATAGTCTTAATTTATTTATTTTTAGAGCGAGGGAGAAAGCAAGGGAGAGAAACATTGATGTGTGAGAGAAACATCAACTGGTTGCCTCCCACATGCTCCCATCCCGGGTGTGTCCCCCGACGAGGAATCGAACCAGCGACCTTTTGGGTTGCAGGCCGGCGCTCCATCCGCTGAGCCACATCAGCCAGGGCTGTTATTTTTATGGTGGTCCTGTTTACATCTATTTTACTTACATAGTCATTTGCATCACAAAATACAGGGTCCAGCAGAAGTAAGGCCTGCTTGAGTGTGGTTGGTAGGGTAATAACATGGGTGTAATAATTTATTGTTTTAATTCGAACATGTCACCTAAAATGTCATATAGTGTGCTTGGGTGTGATATTGTTATGTTACAGAATGACAAGCTTATGATTTTGTAATAAAAAAGGGGCGTTCTTTGTGCCCGGCCCTGTCTATCCCTCTTGACTTCATACCTTTGTGTCTGCTGGTCCCTCTGCCCGAAATCCTTTGTCTGCTTCTAGCTTCCGGGAAAACTCCCAACTATGCTGTAGAGCCCTGGTCGGGCCTCCGGGGGCTCCTGTCCAGGGCTCACTGCACCCTCCCCAGAAGCTGCGGACACCTGGGTTGTTGCGCCACTTCTGACTGCCCTGGGCGGGGTGTCTGGTGCAGCAGGGTTGTGCCAGTGCTTTTCCAATGAGAGCGCTCGACAGTCTTGGATGCCCCGCCCCCTGACTTCCCCTCCACATTTCCAGCCTGTGTCTCAGCCCCGCTGTGCCTCTGACCCCAAGAGCGCTGCTCGGGCTGGTCAGCTTCTCCACGTGTGCTCCCCGGGACAGTGGTCCTGTGAGGCGCTCCCTCCAAAACGGGAAACGCTGCAGATGATGAAACCTGGAGACGCAGGGATGTCCAACTGCTGGCCTGTGGGCCGCCTGTGGCTCAGGATGGCTGTGGATGTGGCCCAAAGCAAAACCGTAAATTTTACTGAAAACATTATGGGCTTCTTTTGTGATGATGTGTCACGGCGTATTTAATGTGTGGCCCTAGACAACTCTTCTTCTTCCAGTGTGGCCCGGAGACGCCAAAAGGTTGGGCGCCCCTGCAGTTAGAGATTCACATTGCACTTTATAAGATTTTGCCCTGACTTGTACGGCTCAGTGGATTGAGTGCGGGCCTGTGAACCAAAAGGTCGCCAATTCGATTCCCAGTCAGGGCACATGCCTGGGTTGCAGGCCAGGTCCCAGTACTGGGAGCTCGAAAGGTAACCACACGTTGATGTTTCTCTTCCTCTCTTTCTTCTTCTCCCCTCTGCCTAAAAATAAGTAAATCAAAATCTTTAAAAATACTTAAAAAATAAAGTATAGGA